TGAAGACCCTTTTTACTGGTAAAGAGGCATTACATTTTAGTACTTAGTATATATATGAGCCAACGCATTTACTCTCATCAGAGGGACCGTGTGCTCGCTTGTGATTCTTACTGCTATAAAAATAATCCGGCTCGGTGGCACAGTGGTTTAGACTAAAATAAATGTGAAAGGGCTTCTATCTAAAATAATAACATTCATCAAAAATAACTTGTATGGCCTATTACTTTACTTTGTAGCAATATTCATATTCGTTTCAGATTCAGAAGGGTACCTTATGCTGACAAAAATATCATGTGGAGGCGACGAAAACGTAAAACATCTTTGTACCTAGATAAAATGTTCGAGAGGTTGTCAGTCATGTCATACGCCACATTTTCTATAGAGTCTAGAACGTTGCAGATAGGGCAGAATAAAAAATAACACAAAATATTATGGGCAATATTTATTAATAATATATACATTTATAGGTATTTATAAAAAAAAAAATAATGAAAATGCTGCAAGGTTCAACTAAATAATGTTTCTTGTAAACACAATTGTAAAATTCCTGTTTTCATTTTTACCAATGGTTAATTGATGAAACGTAGTAGGGATCACTTCATATAAAATATATTTAATTAAAATTGACACACGACCTATTTGGCCTTCTACTTACAACTCGGCGAAAATTTGAAAATAATATTTTGTCTGTTCTTAATTATCTTGTGTACACCATTTTTCACAGAAGTATTGTTTACAACTGGCGTGGTTTCGAAAAACGTGATTAAGTGTCAGCCATATATTGTCAATTTGTTACTGAGCTTTTTTGAAATTTATTTTTTTGTTTCTTTTTGTTATATTTTCTTAAAAACTGACGCCATCTCATTATTTTAATATTTGTTTTTTTGTAGCACATATGATATCTTGGATAAGTTTGTAATTTTTTTTTTATTTTATCACAAAACTTCCGCAATAAATTATTACCTTTTCTACAGTGATTCTCTTCTCTTAGTTTCGGCGTGACTGTAGGATGTATAATAAGTAGGTTAATATATAATAAGTAGAGTTTCAACACAATCTTAAAAAAGTTCAATGAATTTAAAAAAATGCCGATAATTATATAATTTCAAGTCGGTGTTTTACATTTGAAGATCAGTTATAAAGAGCCAAAGTTCAAATTTTATTTTGATTAATTTAATTCGAGACTAAAATAAATGTGAAAGGGCTTTTATCTGAAATAATAACTTTCATCAAAAATAACATACTACAGTATGATTGACCGTGTGTATGACTTATAAAAGTCATACACACGGTCAATAATACTGTAGATTATCAATTGTACTACAAAATATTTAAAAGAGTATTTCCAGTATAATGACTCGAATATCATCGTTAATATTTGACTGGCACACTTAAAAGTTTTATCAGATGGCTAAATGATTGACTATTATATTATGATAAGGTCATGCTTTTCTATAAAAAGCTGCAAGAAATTTTAAATCACAGACCTATTGGTTTGTTTTACTATTCACTTAATTAGTGAAAAACAAGATGGACTGATCTAAAAGTTTACTTTGTGTAAAAAGTGCTATTTAGAATTATATGCAAATGATAATTAAAGTTTCTATGTAAATAAGTGTAACATGGCGGGTATTATATTCAATGGTAGCGGCCATCCATATTTGCAAAGCAGGCAAAGCCAGCATCATTTTCTGTACAGAAACCGGCAGTATTGCTCAAGGCAGAGCACAACTGGTATTATACTCAGGCCCATCAATTGGTATGGAAAAAAATACTTTTACCAGGTTTCAAAAAATCAATCAAAATTCAGAAAAATATAAATATTAAAATCAAAAAATGTATATCTGTATGTCTATACATACATATAATGATTTATGGCCACTTAGTAACTGACAATGACTCAGTATAACATCCTACAGTCACGCCGAAACTAAGAGGAGAGAATCACTGTAGAAAAGGTAATAATTTATTGCGGAAGTTTTGTGATAAAATAAAAAAAAATTACAAACTTATCCAAGATATCATATGTGCTACAAAAAAAAAAACAAATATTAAAATAATGAGATGGCGTCAGTTTTTAAGAAAATATAACAAAAAGAAACAAAAAAATAAATTTCAAAAAAGCTCAGTAACAAATTGACAATATATCGCTGACACTTAATCACGCTTTTCGAAACCACGCCAGTTGTAAACAATACTTCTGTGAAAAATGGTGTACACAAGATAATTAAGAACAGACAAAATATTATTTTCAAATTTCCGCCGAGTTGTAAGTAGAAGGCCAAATAGGTCGTGTGTCAATTTTAATTAAATATATTTTATAAGAAGTGATCTCTACTACGTTTCATCAATTAACCATTGGTAAAAATGAAAACAGGAATTTTACAATTGTGTTTACAAGAAACATTATTAGTTGAACCTTGCAGCTTTTTCATTATTTTTTTTTTATAAATACCTATAAATGTATATATTATTAATAAATATTGCCCATAATATTTTGTGTTATTTTTTATTCTGCCCTATCTGCAACGTTCTACACTCTATAGAAAATGTGGCGTATGACATGACTGACAATCTCTCGAACATTTTATCTAGGTACAAAGATGTTTTACGTTTTCGTCGCCTCCACATGATATTTTTGTCAGCATAAGGTACCCTTCTGAAACTGAAACGAATATGAATATTGCTACAAAGTAAAGTAATAGGCCATACAAGTCCCTCTACTGGGCACATGACTCTTTTTATTTCTGAGAGGGTTTTAGGGCAAGGAAATGTCCGCCGCAATGCCCCAATAAAGCGTGTTGACGAAAATTTCAATTACAAATTTCATTCGTGCTGCCGGGGATCAAACCCGGGAAAAATTTACAGCGAACGCTTTGACCCAGAGCTACTAATACGACACAAATTAATACGATTTAACATATATAATAAAAACTCTTACTTACTTGAAACTTGAACACTTGATAGCTCGTGATGCCTACCGTACAAAGCTACAGCACCACACCGTGCAATGTAATTGAAGATCGTAACCGCGACATGATTCTCAGTGATGCGCAAACATAACAGGCAGTATGTCACTTATATAATTGTCACCTCTGCAGTTTATTAATCTTTGCACTTTTATAAGTAATATAGAACGTAGTCGCTGGACGGTGTTGACTTCGGCTAAAATCTCTGCGATCGCCGTTTCGTCAAGGCTTCAGGCTAGTTTAAGCCTTAAACTATTTGGCGATGTTAGGCTGCCGCGTAATAGTTTATTTTAAAGGTGACAACACTAAATCGTGAACATAGGTTTCTGACCGTTGGTCGAAACCGAAAAAAGTCTGCTTAACGAGATAATGTGTCAACCGCAACGATCGTGGTGAGTTTTATAAAATCAGTGGACTAATTAATAAATTATTTTCTTGTTTCAGAAATCTGATATCATTGTGGATAAATTATATGAAAGTACAGAGGAAGGTCAAAAAGTGACACGAAATAATGGTGATAAATATCTTGCTGTATTCAAGAGAATACCTGATTGCTACAATCAAGGTTGATTAAGGATAATAAAGAATTATTCCATATTACGTAAATATGTTGTTTATTTTATCACACTATATTTAAATTCATAATTTATGAAGGCATAAATGGTTATTTATGCTTATTTAGAGTAAGGCACCAGACAAGCTACCTTTAGGTTTTAAATATTAATAATTGTTGACTGCCTCGTTGGTACAGTGGTCGTTAGCGCGACTGTAGTCCCGGGTTTGTATCCTGGATAGGGTTTATTGGGTTTTTCAGTCAAGAAATTTTCTGTGGACGTAGTTAGGAAGTTGGAGATGTTTTACCCTTGCTCTTCAGAAAACACGTAAGGCCATTAGTCCTTCGCCCGTGGTCTCCCCGAACGTGTTGGACTGCCATATGGACTGAATAGGAAAAACGTTGACACTGGCCGCCGTGACCAAAATCCGGTTTGGAAGACATATTTTTATTGATTATTGGTCTGATCTACAGAGGTTGAGTATCTTGAAATTATGCAGAATCCATTCGTATCTCTATACTCAAGGAAAAAATTAGAGGAACGCAAAAAAGTATGTATATAATTAAAAATTTTGTACAGCCGACTTCAATATAAGTTATTTAAGAATAACTCAAAAACTATTGGTCTGAACTTGATCAAATTCATATGGGACCATACGAGAAGTACTAGCTTTCAAATAAAAATCGTCGAAATCGGTTCTCCCAGTAAAAAGTTATGAGGTAAAACACTTAAAAAACCAAAAAAAATACAGTCTAATTGAGTACAGTCTCCTTTTTGGATGTCAGCAGAAAACAAAATATCATGGATATTTGTGACAATTAAGTTTATTACAGCCCACTGTTGAACATACACAAAGCAAGGTCCTGAGCCACTTGTATTTCTTGAGTTTTGCTTATTATTCGTTAATTTATAATTGCAATTCTTGAAGAAACCAATGATCAAATGACAAAAATTAACCAAATTAAGATAAAAAGAAAATTATACAGATAATTTAAAATTAAAAATTTTGTGCAGCCGACTTCAATATAAGTTATTAAGAATAACTCAAAAACTATTGGTCTGACCTTGATCAAGTTCATATGGGACCACACGAGAAGTATCAGCTTTCATATTGTTACGAGCTTGGGGTTCGAGACAATTAAAAACTGCCGATTGAATTACCAAAATTGACACTTTAATTACACAACACTAATTACAACCTAAAACCACACTAATAATAAAACACAATCACTTTAAGTTCGCAGTTATTTCGCTTCGGAGTATTCTCTTGTATCACCAATTCATTACTGCCCTGGTCGTGGTCTATACCGGCTTTATATAGGGCCTCAGACAGTTTCCAGAACCTTCCACTGTAGCGACATCTAGAATGTTCGAGCACATATCGGTCCCGAAATTTCAGGAAGGATCTTGACTCTCCTAGTTTCGCTACTCGACACTAGAGGCTGCTAGTGTAACTAGTGTTGCCATGTACAAGACATTAATAGTGGCGCGCAACACTGCCCCCTCCTAAGACATGCTCGTTCCGAGCATTAATGGCCCCATAATAACGCGCCAGTCGATCCACATGGACGATCTTAGGAGTACCTCTGGCACCTTTCTGTATCCGGTAGGTTACCTCATTGATCCTTGTCACAATCCGGTACGGTCCGTCCCATTTAGCTTGAAGCTTAGGAGATTTCCCTTTGCTGCGAGCTGGATTGTGTAACCACACTAGTGAACCTTCGTCAAACCCTTTGTTGTTCATTTTGCGGTCATACCGTGTTTTCATCTTCTCAGACGTTTGCTGGCCCGACTGTCTGATGTGCTCATAAATGTCATTCATTTTGTTCCGCAAGTCATTTGCATAATCGGTTATACTGCGTGGGGCATCAGGTGGTATTTCGGTGATCAGGTCTGCAGGCAGCCGTAATTCTCTCTCAAAGTTTGCGAAAGCTGGCGTCACTGATGTACTTTCGTGAACAACGTTTCGATATGACAACAAAAACGGTTGTATGTGTCTGTCCCAGTCTCGTTGCCGTTTTTCCACAACTTTTGTCAGGTACCTTTCCAATGTCTGATTAAATCGTTCTACCATTCCATCAGATTGTGGGTGGTAAGAAGTTGTTCGAGTTTTATGAGTACCCATACCTCTGCAAGTTTCCTGGAATATTTGAGACTCAAAATTACTTCCTTGATCGCTGTGAATCTCTAAGGGTACTCCAAAACGACAGAAGACTTCATGAACTAGTTTATCTGCAACTGTTGAAGCTTCTTGATTTGGAATGGCGAAGACTTCTGGCCACTTAGTGAAGTAATCCATCACAACCATAAAATACAATGAGCGCAGGTACAGACTGGTATGCTATTCGAACCAGCTTCTCCACCTCAAGGGCCCACTGCTGCAGGTTTTCGTTACTGCGTTGCACGCGATCTTTGAGCTGCGCACGAAAGACGTGCTCCATGTGAGCGTCGCCGTATCTCGCCTCCAATGCCTCAAGCAGTTGCTCGTAAGTCACTTCCTTACCAAGAGCTTCCAGAACAGTTAAGGCCTGGCCGCGCAGGCCTAGGGTGAGAGCAGTCATGGCCTGACTTTTATTCCAGCCGTTGTCCTTCATGACAGCCTCGAACTGGATTTTGTAGGCCGACCAGGAAGAAGCCCCGTCAAACGGTGGCACTTTGAATACACGTAGCGAAGGTGTTGTAGTTACCACGGGGGCTGTAATTCCATCACCAAGTTTGAAGTCGTCCAGCCTTTTCTTCACGTCAGCCATCACGTTGTCAACCCGATTGTTCACTTGGTCGATTCGGGTTTCAGCTTCCGACAGGCGGTTGTCATGTTGAGCAATCATATCCTTCACCTCCCTTATCTCTTTCCCGAAGGTAGCGTGAAGGTCCTTCCTGAGGAGCATCTGCTCTTCAATACCGCGCTGCAGCTGCTCTTCCAACCGACGGGCCTGTTCCTCCTGTCGGCGGGCCTGCTCCTGCAGCATCATCATCAGAGCACCTAAGTCAGGTGCTGCAGATGCAGGAGCTGCTGACGGGCCGGCCTCCGTGGTCGGCAGCTGGCCCTCCGATGTCTTCGACGTTGCACCACCAAATCGTCTCTGGTCCGTCTCCAGCTGGCGTTGACTTCGGGTATGGATACCCTCCATGTCGTCCTTTGGTAAAATCGGCATGATTTGATCCCACTTCTGACACCAATTGTTACGAGCATGGGGTTCGAGATAATTAAAAACTGCCGATTGAATTACCAAAATTGACACTTTAATTACACAACACTAATTACAATCTAAAACCACACTAATAATAAAACACAATCACTTTAGTTGGCAGTTATTTCGCTTCGGAGTATTCTCTTGTATCGCCAATTCAATACTGCCCTGGTCGTGGTCTATACCGGCTTTATATAGGGCCTCAGACAGTTTCCAGAACCTTCCTTATTAAAAAAATTTACAAGAAATTATATAAGATGGGAGCAAACGAGTATACGGCTCACCTGATGTTAAGTGACTACCGCCGCGAGGAAGTTGTGCGAGGAAGAAAACTTCCCTTAAATCGCACAATAGTGGATTGTATTGATATGATATGGAGTAGTGGTACGGATGGTGTTTTAGAGTTCTGTCGCGATGTGCGATGGTGAAATTGTGCGGCTGGAATTAGTTCGAACAATTCCTCCGAGCACTCGCGTGGTAGATACGATAGAATATGCAAAAGAATGCAACATCTCTTCGAAGAGCCAGTGAGTCAAGCCGATCAGAAAGAGCTCGGTTGTCGACGATTCGAACCGCTCTGCGCTTGATGCGATCAAATGGAAGGAGCTGGCACTGGGGAGTCCCGTTCCAGAGATGGGAACAGTATTCCATGTGCGACCGAAACAGCGCCTTGAAAGTTGTAAGCGGTGTGCCGGCATGAAATACGCCAAGATTTTTAGAGGTCAATTTAGCCTTCTCTCTCTCTTGAAACACTATCATCTTGATGATTGCGTTTCATCCTTCCTATAATGCGTTTTTAAAATCTCTCCAATTAGCTGAACCTGGACTTCTCTGTGAATAGAACTCGCAAGTTTCGTCATTCCAATTTTCGTGATTGCGAGCAAAATTAACTCGAGCTACTCAATGGCGTGTGGCAAGACTGGGGTCTCTGGCCAAATGTGAATTTATTCAGTCTTTCTCACAGTTTTTGTTCTTACTTTACAGTACTGACGCAACATATTGCGGATATTTCTAAAACTATTTTAATTTACAAGTAATGTTAAGGATTCACGTTATCTATCAGTCTACATGAATTTTTATTAAATATTCATGTAACTACTTAATGTTGATTTATTTCTGTTAGAAAAACGTTACCTCCACACTAGCATTTCCTCTAGTATTCTCCTGTATCGTGGAGGCAGTTAAAAAACATAAATTGCACAAGGACAAAAATCCAGACCAGGAACAATTATTTGAAGGTTATACAAATACTTGTCTCGTGCGCATTGAGATATAATGTACTACGTACTAGAGAAGCTATTCCGAACAAAAACTGTGCACTACTCTATGTCTTCGCGCATGTGCGGTAAATAGTACAATCGCGCATGCGCGGTTTTTGTCATCATAGATTATATACGTAGGTAGAATGATCAGTATGTAATAAGTAAATGTTTATTTAGATTGTATTGTAAATTGTATCGAGTACAATTTTTAAATTGTTATTTATATTGTATAATGTGTTAATATAATGTAACATAATATTATGTCAGAATTACATTTTAATTATATTTTATTTAATACTTTAAAAGGTAAATATGTAGAATATAAAAATATGCATTTATTTTCAAAGATCATTATTATTACATTTCTAGAATTATCTAACGTATTTATACGCAGCTGGTGAATAATAGTGTAAAATCAATGCGAATTTACGTAAAGGTGCATGCAGTGTATAATTAATAATACGTGCTCTGTTTATTCTTTTTGTTAAAGATTTATGTTACTCCATAACTTCTGCTTTACCCATTAAATCAAACTCAGCATTTAAGTTGAGACCAAATTTATGTTTCAAATTTTCTACAATGGATTTGTAAGACGCACATTTTTTCTTTAGATAAATATTTTGTCTTAAATTTCTCAGTAAGTTTCTTTCTAGCTACAGATTCCTTGCTATTATATACAAACACAATATTACAACGTGCTTATATTCTTTTTATAATAACCTAGAATTATTGATTCCGCTATTAAAGTAGAACTATATTTAAAAGCTTAGGCTTCGTATACATCACTCAAACTTAGCTTAGGAGACATCACTTGCGTAATTTATTTTTAAGTACAATTTTGCTCGGACTATCTAAAATTGAATTTGTACTGCTTATTGATTCAGACAACAGTTCTGATACTTCCTGTTCACCACATTTTGTTGGCTGAAAAAAAGATACTAGTTATTTGGAAAGCCTGCAAAAATTCTAGTGTTACAGTATTAAAAAACCGTCATAGAATGACTCGCGCGCCGAGGTTTTCGTCTCTCTTAAGTCCCGTAAATATACTGAACATTACAAAACATTCGTTCGTCGTCTAATCAAAAAATAAAACAAAAATCCCAGCAATGTTATATAATTATATAATTACATAGTCGCATGGTACTGCTTATTTCTTGAAGTACACTCTTCCTGTTTTTGCGGGGTAGTTGTCATTTTTTTTAAATGCACGGAAAATGTGAGTGAATAATCTGAAATTACTTTGCTGCAATTCTTCTGAACAAATTTGATCCAAGATTATTTTGTTTCATGACACAGCCGAGGAAAGCATTAAATAAAAATAATAATAAAAAATATTAATTTTAATGCATTAACATTTCCTACAGTGAATATATATAAATATTTTACTGTTCATAATTACTTAACATTATACGTCGATAGTGTCAAGTCTGCGCATAAAAATGTTTTACTCTTTGACATTCACGTATACGTTGCAGTTGATAAAATATAATTAAATTAAGCGTGTTTTAAAGATTAAGTTTAAATTACTGGTGAAAATTCACTCCTTGACTTTTCCTTATATTTCTCGAGTAGTTTAAACAGTATCTCAATGCACACGAAGGCATATTAATTTAAAAATAATTCTTCACTCTAACTTCTCACGTTGCAACAACCGCTTGACACAGACTAAGTGAGTTTGAGAGCGCGCACTCTAACTCGTGTTACAAACAATCGAGTTGAGGCGTCTTCTCTAGTACGTAGTACATTATATCTCAATGCTCGTGCGCGATTCTAACGCGCGCCCACAACCAACTCAATAGCATGGAGCCACTGCGCCTCATAGCTGTCAAACTATCGATTAATTAAATCATATGCATTAATAAAGCCACATACATAAATCGAATCCTTGATCATTCAAATAATTCCATAAGTAATACTTAATAAAAAAATATTACTTATTCAATTAATACATATTCGTTCGTTACATATTTGTTAGACTACTTCTATTTGCCATATAAAGTCCAGAAAGGATGCCTTCCTTTTTTGCATGGTTTTTATGCTTCTGTATAAGCCAAATCCCAAAGATGTTTTATAGGTCCAGATACCGTGTACGCGCGCCTAAAACGCTTCCATTTCAAAGGCGCCAATATTGGCGTATTCGTTCGATCGTTCCGCCATTACGTTACGCCAGCGCCGTTCGCTGTGAACGTACGTCACGCACCGGTGTTTTTAATTTCGCAAAATGACTGTTTGTGCTGTGAAATCATTTAAAAATTACTCTTGGAATAAAGATAAGGATAAGAACATCACTTTTCATAAATAAGTATACAATTTTATGGTGTATTTCTTTGTAAAAGAATACGAAAGCTAAATGTCAATACAAGTAATAATACTGCGCAATAATATTCGAGTGTTGCCTAGTCTATGAAAAGTTTTTACCATTTTTTAATGTCATGATCAACGACAAAGGTTATCTGTATAGGGGTTTTAAACAGTCTAATTTTACAGATTTTACCCAACCTATGCAGCATGAAATTGCACTTTCCTGTGCTTCTATCCTTTTTGGTCACTCAGAACCGTTATAGTAGTAACTGGTATAGGTCCACCCTCACAAAACCGATTGTAAACCGGTTTTAAAAGTTTATCTATCATTCTTGACAATTCATACTAATATAATATTATAAATGTGAAAGTGTGATTTTTTTGTTTATTTGTTTTTGTCCTTCCTTCACGCAGCAACAGAACGGAGCAATTTAAAAAAATTAAACATTTTGCTATCTCTTGGCTGAAGTTCACGCTTAACCAAACTTACTTTTTTTATATAGGATAGGATGACAAACGAGCACACAGTCCACCTGATGGTAACTGGTTGCTGCGGCCCATAGACATCTACATTTATCCTCGTTTGCGAATCAAAATGCAGATGCGTTGTCACCCGTGAGGACTAAGATGGAATGCCTCTTTTCCAGTAAAACAGGTCTCCGGTTCTCTGAAGATTTTTTTCGTCATTTTACTTAGGATTGAAAAATAATTTAATGTCTTCGTAAAAAGCGGCAATATTTTGTGTTCTACAGTACAAAAGTGTAGTACTCTGTATATATTTAATAATAATAGATTATAAATATATGTTACATACATAAATATCTACTGTGCTTTTTTATTTATTTTAACTGTTACATTATTTATAAGTTTTATTACATATCTTCAATATTTTAGAGCGATGTTCGTACCTACATAAAACACACATAAGCAAGCATATCCCCATACACACACAAATACACACGCCACGCACACACATTTTATACTCTTAGAATCAATAGGTACGTCAATAGGAATGAAATATAAAATCTCCCAAATTTTTTGGGTAATCGATTCGCACTGTTATTACCGAAGTCACGCACATTAATGCAGCCGTGGTGCGTAAGATATGCGTGTCACGTGGTACTCACGCACACATGAATCAAAGACTGTCTTCACTATGAACGTTGCGGTGTGTTAGCAACACGGAATCTGGACCTATAAAACATCTTTGCTAAATCCATATTTTTTTTTAAATAAAAATTGGCACTTATATATTGAGAACCTGTGTTGATTTTTAAATTCAAAACAGCTTTAATAATTTTTTGTTATTCATATAGATTTTAATTAAAAGTATGAACTCCCAATACAAATGCAAAATCATCAAAATGATATAAAATGTTTATGCCTGTAAATGTTTGCTAATTTTCTTCTCTAATAAAGTTATCCATCGAATAAGAGATCTTGAAATGTCCAAATGTCTTCGCATGTGCATAGTAGCGCCTAGAATCCATTCCTTTCGTTCTAGCCAAACTTTGTGGTTCAATACAGATAGTAAAACGGCAGCCCATATATCAGATTGACATGGATACATATGAAGACCTTGTTTTGCAAGTGATATAGCTTTCATGTGATCTCCAGCAATATGTTCAGCTATACTAGCCGTAGCCAACATTTTCGGTGAGTCGCACTGCTGTTTACTGTAGTGAGCAGAAATAATCGCTCTCTGAGCACAGCAACTTGCTACTTTGGCTCTGTTATTAGTTCTTAGGCAGTATTGAGCCATACAAAACCATAAGTTCGCATTACTAGGATGGTCATGAAGCGAATCGCTCAGTAATTTTATCCCTTGTTCCATGTCATCATTGCAGACGAGGTAAGATTTTAAGAAACCTATGTCATAGCCGAAATCGCTTACATGTTCATATTTTTGTAATTCACTTAAAGCTAATTTTGACAAGCTTTGATCGGAATGAATGATTCCTAAAGAACATATTGCAAATAAACTATACGCTGTTGGTTTCTTTTGCGATACTTGAATGCTATGAAAAAGTAAAGTTTTAGCGTCATCTACTCCCTTATACATATAGACTATACCAGCCATTGCTACAAGAATATCTGCCTTCTCATTATCATTGTTGCTCAGCCAGTGTAAAGCTGTGTCATAAGCGGAATAAGCTTCTTCATAAAGGCCTTTTTTAAATAGAGCAAGAGCTAAACCACAAGTAGAGTCCAAGCTCGCTTCTGTAATGGCTTTATAGGTTTTGATAGCTTCATCATATTTACCAATTCTTACTTGAATTCGACCAATATTTAATAAAGCTGTATTCTTTTTATCATCATCTGCATATGCAAAAGCTTTCTCATAACATTTTTCTGCAGTTCGTAAAAGCCCATTTCTTTCTTGTAGTATCCCAAGAATTGTACATGCACAGGCATTATCTGGTTCAAAACTGCAGAACCAATCAACCAAATCTGCTGCATATGTAACAGCATAAAGACCTTCTATTACATAGTTTAGTTCAGCATTGCTTTTACAGTCATTATTTTTTAATGTACGGCATACCCAATCTGCATATCCAAGTGCACTCTCAGGGTGATAGCCAAGGCGACAAGCATGCCGAAAAAGATCCATCGCTTCTTCTTCTCGAATTACCTCTGCTATCAATCCTTGACCAATCCAACTTTGTGGATATGAAGGTAAAGTAGATTGTCCCCGCCAAAAACAATAATTAGCAAGCTTATAAAGGTTTAGTTTTAAATACAATGTTCCTAAATTGCACCATACTTTAGCTACAGACCATTTACGTGTGAGTAATAATGCTTTAATAAAACAATGTTGTGCTATGTCATATTTGTTTAAAAACAAGCATATTTTGCCAAGTAAATTCCAATTACGCCACAAATTAGGATTTAACTTAATACAAGCGATTGCTAATTTAAAAGATATTTGACAATTAGCCAAATTGTTTGTTTCATGATAGTAAGAGAGATATGCAGAAGCTAAATCATATGAGGTTACTTGCTGTTTGTATTTTGCAACTCGGGAATAACAAGCTAATGCTTGCGGAAATATTGCATGTTTTTCTTTTTTATCAGTTTCTTCTTCAAAAGTATTCTGGAAGTTTCTCATATACACAAAGGAATATTTATTAGGTAATTTTGTAATAAATATGAGAGACTCTGCTAAAAGATTCCAAAAACAAGAAAACTTTTTCTCAAATGTTAAGGCTTTTGTTATATAATTTACAGCAAACTGTGCAGTATCTCTTGCACTGCCATACAATTTGGCACTGAATTTTTTCTTAGCAATTCTCATCCATGTTTCTGCTATTCCTTTTAAAGCCAATAAAGAAAATTGGTCTATTTTTAATACCTCTTCAAAAGTTAAAATTGCATCTTCATATTGTGTCAATACAGAGTGAATATAACCTATTCTAGTAAGGCAATGAGCACTTTTTCTAGTGTTTAATGACATAACTTTATTATATGCTCTTAGTGCTGATGTAAATGACCCTCTAGAATAATATGCATCAGCTAAACATTCAAATGCAGTTACATTAAAATTATTAATTTTAATAACAATTCTGAAACATATAATTGCATTTTCCCATTCTCTTTTCTTTAAATAATGTAGCCCTAACCGAAAATCTATCCATTCATTCATTTTCAAAGTATTCTTTGCATTATTTAATAAATCAAAATCTGCATCTTGAAGTTGTAATCTAGAGTACACTTCACTTAAATGCTTAACAATATTACTGTCAGTATTATTAATACTATAAGCTTTTTCAAAACACTTCTTAGATTTATTTAAATCCTCTTTATGATAGTAATAATAATAACCTAAATACAAAAACGTGTCAGCATGATCAGAGTTCATTTTGGCTGCTTTGAGAAGATTAACAAGGCTTCTGTCATATTGCTTAAGTTCCCAATATGCTACACCTATATAGAGGTAACTTAATGTAGAAGGATCTTCATTTTCTAGCAAAGTAATCACTTCTAAATATTTGTTTTCTTTTAGGAAAGACAGAGCTTTAAGATGTAGAAAGTATTCTGTTGTTTTGAGTTCCTTTAGTACATAATCTGCTGGTTCATTTAACTCAATTAAACTCTTTGCCAAATTCGCCTTTTCACTAATTTCTAAGCCTTCAACTGGAAATTCCTTAATGACACTAACTGCTTGTTTCCATTTATTTTGTTCGACAAGTGACAAAAACAGCATTTTCTTTAAATCTTTTGAAAAACTTTCATTTTTTACTTTTGTTAAAAAATTTGTTACAAGTTTTTGTGTTACAGACCACTTCTTCAACATTATCGTACATCTAATAATAAAAGTAGCTTCAGTTACATCTGCCTCTTGATAATTTATTAAAGGAATACATTGTTTATATGCCTCGAAATATAAACCATTGTTATAGAAAATCATACTTTTTAACAAATTAGGATATTTGGAGTTTTCAATTCCCACTATTATTTCATCAAAATGAGATTCAATTTGGAAATCTAAAAATGAATTTTTCTCTATAAATTTGTCACACAAATATTTGCAAAGTAATTCACGCAATATTACATTTTCAGAAAAGAAAGGGAGCTTCATAACTTCTTCAACAGTAGGTAAAAAATCCTTTTTTTGTAATATAACTTTTCCATATAACAGTTGAATAGACTCATTTGATTCTTTTTTACAAATATTATTAAGAATATTTAAAACTACTGAAATATCCTCTTCTATACATGGAACTTCAGCTTTTAGAAGTTCAAGAAAACTATTTAGAGCTGCTTCATATAAATTGCCTTCATGTAAATTCTTCATATATTGAGAAAGTATTGTAATAGTGCTTCCATGTTTTAAGGATAATCCAAGCATTCTTAGCTTGCCTATACATTCTAAAGCTTTTTCCTCATCTATTTGTAGTTTTAATAATTCATCATAGACAGAAAGAAGTTTAAGTTTTGATAAATTGTCTTCCTTTCTTTCATAATAATTTGCTAGACCCACCCAAGCTAATGGATGATCTGGTTTTGTAGCAATAGCTTTTTGGAAAGCTAAAGGTGCTTGATCAGAGTCATCAAGAGATTTACCAAGTAATATTAAGCCTAAGTAATTTTGCTTATCCTTTCGCAATATATTTTTACAACATTCTTGGGCTTCTTTGTAATTTTTCTCATCTATTAACTTCCTGGCTTCTTTCAATAACACTTTGACATCAGCCATCTGAAACAGTCATACATTGCTATGAGACAAGATGTAATATAAATTGCATTTAGTTGATTCTCTAACATTTCATTTATAATTAGGAAATATGATTAAATTAGATACTTATTACTAAAAATAGTTTAAGTTAATGTCAAAATTACAGTTTTTTACTAAATGCATATGAAAGTAAATACGTTACCTACAACTAAAATTCAATTTTAAAAATTTTTGTCTGTCTCTGTTTGTTCCGGGTAATCTCCGAAACGGCTGGTCCGATTTTGACGGGACTTTGACTAGCAGATAGCTGATTTCACAAGGAGTAACTTAGGCTACTTTCATTTTAGAAAAAGAATTAGGGTTCCGCGCAAAAACATAAAAACCCTAACACGCGAGCAAAGTCGTGGGGAACAGCTAGTTCTTAATAATATTACGTCAGAATTATCATATATCTAGAAAATGGTTATTTCCTATAAATGGCTTGCTATATAAAAAAAAAAGGTTAGGAAAAGATATAGACTTAGCTAGACATGTGTCAATCATGAACAATTCGATCATTAACTACAGTCAAGTAAAAGTATTAATGATTGCAATAATATTTTTAAACAATCCAGAACAAACAAATGACAGAACCTTTATAACCTGAATCCTATGACTAACTGTTTTGTGCTATTTGTGAATGTAATATTATTGTGCAAATAACCTTTTTTCTAGTTATTATTCAAAATAATTGTGATAATTGCTTCAACCAATCTGTACAAGTATTGTAAGATTAAAATGCTTATGTGTGTTTGAGATAATCATGGAACAACTAACACAACTGTAAAAGACTTTTTTATCTTTCCTGTATAAAGATACAAAAGTATTTAATTTATGAAGGAAATATTATTTAAAATATTAATCACCCACATACAGTAAAGTTTATAACACAATACAATAAATATATAAACAGTGAAATAAAGTATTATTTTGTGTTCAATCTAAGCCGAATGACTTGCATTCATCTGTTGCAACTGAACAAATAGTAAGAACCAATGACCAACAGAACCAAGAGAGTCTCATACATCACAAGTACTAAAAGGACTAATTTAAATGATCAACCAGAATGACAGGTCATTTTGAAAAAGGCTTCCCTTCAACCCACCCTCCCCGTACAAAAGTACTGGATGTCTATAGTTTACCAAATCAATTGTTAGATGAATACAAGAACCTGTCGATTTGATAAATATCTCTGATTTTGTTACAAGGGGAAAGTTGTAGAGATAGGTCACACCTCATAATCCTACCATTTCCTCCACCAACACCCTATTAGTGCCACAGAATACACTAAAGCAACCCCATAATAAATTGTATTTTAGGATAGATTTTGATTGTCTTAGTGACAGAGGAGTATCATTCCAACACTGCAACTTAAAATAATTGTCTAACTAACTAACTATTCAGCAGCATTTCTCTTTGCATTGAATCACATGATTAGTGAATAGGCTTTTGCCACATTAAATCAGCATTTTACCATCTTTAGCTACATTACCACTATCAGATAGGATAGTAGGTAATGCTAATGAACATTATTTTACATCATTAAGCCATTTACATACATATTTTAGAAGCTATTTTTAGTTTTGCACTACTAACATAAACAAAATCGATAGGTACTTTACAAGATATTTCGGTGTGTTACATCAGAACACTAAAAAAGCAAAGAAGGAAAAGAAGAATCTACTTGCTCAAAATTTAACCTAAGATTACACAATAACTCAGAATATCAATTTTAGATCTCATTTTCTCTAAATATATTTATATTCTTTAAATAAAACACATTTTTTAATGAGTAATTTTGGATGTTGGTCATCATCCTTGTACGTCAGTAAGGGTCACAACGGGCAGGTGAGCTTGGCACTTTGATATGATGTTGGTTTAGTACCCCTTATATCCAATAATATTAATGATACTCGAAATAAGTTAACAAAACGCACCTGAAAATAAACTTATTAAATAAATCTGTCATTAATTTTAATTTCTATGGTCTTTTTGCACTTGATGATTGTTGTTGTTTTTATTATTAGCTCGAGAGAGCGGGCAAAGGAACTAAGCCATACAGCCTTGTCTTTTTTATTTTGAATATATAGAATTTTAAAGTGTAAAGGCCGGAACCAAGTCTTATTTTTCTTTTTTCCATCTCTTCAAAATCCATAAAGGCCAAAGCAAAGTTATTTTCTTTAATTCTTCATATTTTCAAAAACCGTAAAGGCTAAAGCCAAGTCTTCTTTATAATCTTTGTAAGTTTCAATCCATGTAGATTTGTTAATTCAATATTTTTAAAAACAGGGATACCACATTTCATATTTCTTTTACAGTATTATGAATAAAATTGCAAAGTGCTAAATATGTCTTAGTATTCCTAAGAACATCTTGCAGGGCACGCGCACTTGATGATTGATGATGATCACAGAACACAATTACTCTTTATCAAGATAAGAACGCCAACTTCATACTAAAAAACGAAAACACGTGTTTATGTGTATACGAAAAGCGCTACGGTGGACGCCCATATAAAACTTTTTAGCGGGAATTTCAAACCTTTGTATTCTGTAACTTTAAACTATTTATTTAAGGCTTATTCGAGTAATTTTGGCTCAAGCCTCACAAACCTATGGGGTAAATTCCTATATATTTGAGAGGTTGCACCAAAATTACTCGAATATACTTTAGATTAGTATGTGGGATAAAATAAAACTATAAATAAGTATAGTTATGTAATTTTATTTTCTGGAAGACAGATTGTTTTATGAATTACACATTATTATTGATGTTTTTTATTACTATTGCACATAATATTTCCTCGCTCGTTACTGATATATAACACATGTTATTGTCAGGGAGTTATTCTTCACATAACATTAACGTAAATTTAAATCAGCAAAATTCTCATGATGAAAACTTAACTCAGCGAAAATACGTGATCTGAAACAGATAAAATTCGAGTCAATATAGTAAAAAACCCTACAAATAACGGCCAATAAATTCGAAAAGTTTATAGCCTTACCACAATATTGTCATAAGTTGTTCTTTTCCTATCATAGGAAACTTGCAGAAAGTGATCAGATGATTTTCTGCTTTTTATTTGCACAACACTTAACTTACTTTCGATGCTGACCACAAATCGTGCATAAAATTTTGAAATAATGAATTCCTTAGAGTAATTACACATAGAGTGATAGTGACATTCAAAATTCCGTTCAAAGTTGAAGCTACAACACAATGAATGTGTGCATAAGCGGCCTGTAATTACGTTTGCCCACACGCACATAAGCAAATCAGTAATGTATGCAAGTTAATGACATTTTCCCCAAAAAGTGGGGAAAATGTAATAGTAGACATCGTCATAGAATTAATATTTAGGTTGCATTTATAATTATTTATTAACTATTTGCAAAGAAAAAATGTAAAATTATTTATTTTTGTTAACTTGTGTAATATTTAAATTATTTATATACGTAATATCTTGTGTTATAATAACAAATCTATTATGTAATTATATTATTCTGTTAGAAGCGGTACATTTATATAAATATTTGTTATTTATCTTCCATAAAATGTTATACTATTTGTAAATATTAATTTTTTTATAATACTCAATGGCCTTATTCTATGATATAAATAGAAAAGTGGAAGAAATGGAGGAGGCAAATGCCTACGTCTATTTCTTACAGTTTTTCCAATCCAGTCCCACTTAAATTTAACAAGTGAATAATTGTCAGATAAACATTTTAGCTGTCTGATATTTTTTCATTTGTAATTACGTACTAACTTTGGCTATGGCCCGCGGCTTCACCCGCATATTAAAGCATACACTGATTTCAATTCTTGCCATTCTAAGAATCTACGTGATATATTTAATTTAAATCGGTTTCAACGTAAAGATTACAACATACAACTTTCACAGAATGGATATAATATTAGAAGGAATCACGAGACTTAAGAGTGCGGTCAACTTCAAGTGATTATTATTATTACTTTATTGGATATTATGTTTTGTATTAAAACAAAATAAGATTCGGAAGGAGATAACTATTCAAATAAAACATAAAATTAAAAATGTTTATTAAAAAATATAAAATGAAATATACCCAAGTACTTAAAAAAATATCTCTTAATGACCCTGAAACTGCAAATGTTTTCTAAACAACTGCCGCTTGGAAGACGCTATCCTCGAAATGTTATCTTTTTTAGATTCATAATAGAATCGAACTAAAAATGTTAAATATATGTAAATAAAAAAAATCATAGGCTATGTTATTTATCCTAAAACACATACCATAAAAAGGTAAAAACAACTGCACATTATCAAAACAAAATAAAATCAACATATTTTTTTTCGTGGCAAAGGGGAACCCTAATAATATTTGGCAAATAAAAATACCTATTTATATGTGAATGAGACTATTGGCAGTATGTATGTATTTTTTTCAATATGCATTTTTTATAATTATAATAATAACAAAAAAATGGGGTAAAATATTTTACTATGCCTAGCAACATTTTCATTATATTGGCGTCTGTCAAATTTATTATTTATTATTTTGTGTTGATGAATGTTTTTTACAAAAATATAAGATGCTAGGCAGTAGTTAACCGTGAAATGAGATTTTTACATTTTTTTCCTGATTATGTGATGAGTTGTAACACCCTTTCACAGTACAGTACGTCATTTTTTTGAAAAAATGTGCGAGCTGTTTACATGACTACGTGGACTCGAGTACTCTAACGCGTCAAAAGTCGTACTTAGCCTTTAAAGGCTAACTTGAAATGGCTTCACTTTGCGTGCGCCTACTGCGGTTCTAACTTCTAAGCCTAATACTTCTATGGTCAATACCTTATACAGAATTAACATCTCACAAAAAATCTTTACTGTTCATTCACGACGATCTTATGACTGTATATTCGCGTACATACGAAAATGAAGTCCATGTAACTGAATTTAAGTAAAAATGAATAATAAATATTAAAAACTAAAACTA